ATTTACAAAGCTGGAAGCTCAATAGCAAAACTATTTAGCTAGGAAAATATGATGAACCATTCACGTCCTTAACAGCCTTTTTTTGTATTGGTTTAGCACAATGTAGCTGGTTAGACCTGGTGACTATGTGGGAGTTGTTTTGATTTTATCGTGATTATGAACGATTAAGCATTACGAATGATACTTTGATATGTACAATCATAAGCAAGCTATATTATTATGAAAATAGATTAATTCGACAAATTAAAATGCAAAAAAATTAGGTGAAATCAGACCTTTGCGCCTTTTCGATCACCATCAGTGCGCACACCCAAAAGACGACGCAAAAGAAAGAATGAGATCTCTAATTCAATAAAAATCTCAGGAAGACTGCCAACAGCACCAAGTACATGTCCAACCAGGCGATCGGCTCGACAAAGCTGCGGATCAATTTTGGTACCTACGCCGATCAGGCCACCCGGTACGGCATAGGCAAGGTCATTCTGTTCAGCAAATAGGGAGAGGATGCAGGAGCGAATAGGTCGGCAGATAATGTGACCCTTTTCTGCCTTGGATACGAGACCTGGTCGAATCTCGATCTCCTCACCAACCTGAGAGTGAATTAAACGTAGGCACCAGATAAAAATTTTAGCATAACTGGCGGATAAACTATATTTTTAGTCCGAAAGTAATCCGGACAAAGTAAAATTAAAGCAAATATTGAACTGAGAAAATAAATAGCTTTAGGAATTAAGTATTCCATGCTTTTTCTTCTCATTTAGTGTTTTTCAATAAGTATTATATCTGTAGGTCAATAAACGATGAGTGCAGAGGGAAATTAACCAAATGAATGAGGTAAATAAAACACAGGCTTGCCTAGCAATCATACAGGTTAGCTCCAAACTTTTTTGGAGCAAGTATAAATAGAGAATAGCATACTAGTAATGGCTTACATATAAAGCTTTTGTATCGTTTAGTGGGGCATTATGAATAATTAAAGAGGAAAACTCTACAGTCTAGTCAAGTTTGGGAAACGTCAGTGATAAGAATATAAAAGAAATTAATTGTTAACTGATTGTCGCTAATTGTCTCACAGAGGAATGTAGAGAATAATTGTCAAAAAGAAAAGGAAAGAGTGAATGACCTTAATTTGGTTGGTGGGTATATATAGGAGATAAAGTTATTGCCTTATCTCCTATAATGCCCACTTTCCTCTCTAGGCTCACCGATAAAATCAGAAAAGTTTGGTATAAAGCAACTTATTCCAGTCTGATATAGAAAACAGAAGTACAAATAAGCAAATATTTATGCATTGTATGATAGTGACACAATTTCCAGGCCTATCAGATCAAAAATACAAGGATACTATAATCCATATGGCTGCCTACACGATAAAATGATTATAACAGCAATAATAATAAAAACTAAAACGGTTTGGGCACAAGAGAAAAAATATAGGAATGATTTGCGCTTAAAAAAAGTAACATAAGTG